ACAATACAAGTTAATATTCTACACCTTACATGCTAGAGGTTTTTAACTGGGCACACAAGAAACACAGAGGAGAAAGCCTATACCCCTTTCCATGAGTGTTTTATCATTTTATTCTATGATAGAATACCTCCAAGCATGGATGTCCTCAGCTTAACTCAAGAGGTATTAGGCTGCTATAACTGGAATTGTAGATTAATCTCAGGGCTAACCCTATAAAGCAGAGCTTTCTGAGCAGATTCCTATTTTGAGAAAACAGAAGCCTACATAAGAAAAGCATCTTTTGTGCTGAGAGCAGAGGACCACATCAAATGACTCAAGTTTTCCATCATGAGTTTCTTTTGATTTAGATCAACCGTAAACTAGTCCATAAATGATATGCTTTTATGATAAGCTTAAGCAATAGATGTCATAACAATTTTAAACCGTAAACCCTCACTATTAAACCATGGTTAGAAAAGGAAAAAGATCAGCTCGCACATCTACAAAAAATCAGCTGGGGGGAGCATGGGAGAAGGATCAAGTTTGTTCAGAATGTTCTGTGATTGTGAATATGGTAACTAACTATAACAGCAGTTCTATATAGAGGGTATTATTAAGAGGAAGGAAATATTTTCTATCAAGATGTTTTGTATACTTTGCCACTCACCTGAATAATGACCCCTGTATTATTAAGCAAAAACCAGACAAGAATACAGTAGCAAAGGAAACAAAATTTTGATCTACATACTGGAAAAGTTAATATAGTACTGAAGGAACTGAATGTAAGCAAAAACTCAGATGTCGAAGTTATTTCTGAATTTGTGCATTGTGCTTGCAATCACTTACATCCATTAACTTTTGTGGCTTGGAGATGGAAGATTATCGTCTGTTTAGTACTGCACAGTGCCTAAATGTTCTACATAATGTCACGGAAGGATATTGTCCCCTTTGTACTATCACAGCTTCCATTTCAGAGCCCACTGTGTGATACTCTCAGTCAGCCATCCATTAATCTGTACTTAACTAAAAAGCATTTTTCAGGATG